ATTTTTTGTGTTCTTATTGAAATACGTGTCGTTCTACTTTAATAATAGTGAAATCGTTAGACAAGCCGAATGGACTTTTTTTTGTAGAGAAAATTTTTCTTCGTTCAAATGATTCTAGAAGTTTTGCTAACCTTTGATTTTCGGAATAATTCTAATCAAAAAAAGCCACAAACTTTTTCAAATTCAAAGCATATAGCAAAAAGGATATTTTTGCGAGAATTCTCCCTTTCCTTCTATATATCAGTTCATATGTACCGAGACCATATGGTTGACTAATTTGACAAACACGACATTGACCAAATTTAGCTTAATGTTTTTATATAGGTTTTCAAAAAAATTTTGCTTTCTGGTGGGTTTTGCTGTGGAATTTTTTGGACGTAGCGTTATGGTTCTATTATCCAAATACGCATGACAAACCTAGGATCATGGATGATCTCCTTCAATAGATGCGCTGTAGATGGCAGGGATAGTCGTGACACAGTATGTTCCTCAGATTTTGGTAATCCGATATGGAAATCGATACCTGAAAACATTGCTTATTACTTTATGGTGCTTACTTAGAAGACCTTTAACCTACCGTATTTATCCGCTACTTCCTCCTTGAAGAATTGTCCTACGGACCTTCCCTTAGGATCTGCTCTGCGTACAATTTGGTCTACAATCCAACCATAGGTGATAGCGTGGTAGCTAGAAAAAAGCAATAATTTTAAAATTGTTCAGTTTATTTAGGGGAGGCTCTAGTTCTCACCCGCTTTTGGTGCCCGGCTCCCAATTCGGCTTCTGTTTTGCGAGAATATATGCCATCTTATTGAAATCCTTCGCATCTTCTCGTGAGATTGGCTCATCCAGGGCGGCCAAGCCTGCCTGTCAAAATTAGCTTATTAACCCATTTCAGACCCAAAAACAACTTTTGTCTCTGTCTTTGTCACTCTTATCTCTCTAAATCTTAGAGAATGTTGGACCAAATCATAAAAGTGAAATTTGAAGATATTTTTTTGCAAAGCTTCTATGTTTTTTGTGGCTTAGAGAATTTAAAGGATCAAATCAACAATGGATGTCGAATAAAGTTAATTGCAAATTGGTTTGCACCACCCAACTTGAAAGCTTCAAAATCTTACGATACATAATTGGAACACAATTTCCTCTCCTAATGCCCTTTGTAACTGTCATGGACTTAACCAGTTACATCGGAGTGGAGGAA